TATGTATACTACCCTACACACAATAGGGGATTCAACAGTATTTGTTTCTAATGAAAATTTTCCTTGAATGCCAGGTTTGATGTTAGTTTTAAGGGGCATAACTGTGAGCACAACAGAGAACCTGACCTCAAGGAGTATACAGTCTCCTTATCAGAAAGAATATTAATAAAATAGAAGTAGGAAGAACTAAAAACCTGTAATTCAGGATAAAAGGTGGTAATTGTTATGAGGAGAGTATAGAACTTAGAGAATGGGGAAGTGATCTCTGATAAATCAATCAGACTGGTGACAGCCTCAAGGAACCGGGATTTGAGTGAGTTGAACATGTGAGGATGTCAGCTTTCTTTCCAGCTGGAGAGAAGAAAGCAACCAAAAGCAGGACTAGAAATTGTAACTCAACTGCCTATGTGTATACAAGGTGGGCATGGTTAGGAATAGAGTACTATAGTCTCATACTATGTAATACCAGAAAGTAGTAGTAATGTAGTCTAACACAGTACCTGGCTCAAAGAAGGCATTCAGTAAATACTGAGGAAATAAATATTGTTGAATCCCTGCCAATGCTCTAGATGATTGTTGCCAATTTCCCAGCTGATTGTGATCAGATATGCAGGTTTCTGAAGAGGTGCTAAAAGTCCGGATTTTTAATGGAAATTTCTCAATTCGTAAACTCTATGTATAAATATACTTCCTAAGTTCTGTCCACTGAGAGACCTACAAGAAATTACACGCCTGTAGCAACAAGCCCCTAGCACTCAGATCTTTCTTTCTAAATACCATTCTCCACTAAAAGGAACCAAGGCCTCTTGCAGAAATGATTGATTCTCAGAGTTGGGGCAGGGAAATTACAAGGTGAGCCTGGAGCATCTTACTGAACCAGAAAGGAAATGCCAAAAGAATGATAGGATCTACCAGACACAAAAGCCAGGCAGAAGAGTTTCTGTGAGCCAAATCTGGGACATTTGAACATGAAAATGAATAATGATATTAATGGATTATAATACCTTTAGGGGGAGAAACCCTGATTCCATACTGACACTAAACAAAATAAAAACATAAAACACTGTGTTTGCTGGAGGAACATGTTCAAGAGCTATATATGTAGCCCTAGGTGCCAGGGCTGATCCCTGTGCTAAGGATGGATGAGAAACAACAAGTAGTTCATCTGTGTAGCGATATGGGTGCAAAAGGCAGGCTGAGAAATGTAGCTAGTGGGAGATCTGTTCAGTGTCAGAATTTTGAATGTCAGACCAAGAGTCTGGATTTGAAAAGTCTTCATGTCTGTCGTGGGAGCCACCCACAAGTCCAAAGGTAACCTAGACGACTTTGAGAGCTGTTTAGTAGAAGGACCTGCACCTGGCTGCTCCCTCTCTCTCTGGAGGCAGCCATTTTTCTCTTTCAGATAATAAAATCTCTTGTGAGGGCCCGTGTCTCCTGAGTCGTCCTGCGTAAGGAGGGTCGCGACGAGATACCCTTTCATTGGTGCCGTAACTTTGCATGAGGTTCTCCCATTGACTTTGCTCTTCCTCCGGGAATCTGAGCTGCTTTGGGAACCCTCACTGCCCGATCCTCCTCCACGGGCTCACCGCCCATTTCTCCCGTCACTCGTATTCTCGCCCAGCACCGGCCTTCAATCTGTTACTCCTCCAGGGCTATCAAGGCCCTCTCACAAAGAATAACGAAACCAGCTAGATGACATTGTGAGTCATCTCAAGATGCCCGCCCTTCCCCAACTCTACAGCAAGGGCCTCGCTAACCCCAGAATCTGCGACCCCTTCCAGCAGGAAGTAGCTGGAGAATGAGATTCTATGCCCAGTTCCCCAGAGGCCCAATTAAGAAAATAAAAAGATGGGAATGAAGGCAAATTCTGGCGTGCTAAGACTCCTACCCCTTAAGATCCAATCACCACTGACCAGATGGTCGCCCACCCCTTAAGATCTGTGGATAACATGAGAGTTCCTGTGGCCAGGATTCTCACCTGGCCCTGGTTGACTAGCTCACTGCACACCTGTGGGCAATACATGGCTGTTGACTCTATATAAAGAGCTCCGCCCAGTGTTCTGCGTGTGACACGGTGGCAGGGCTGCAAGGCTGCAGGAGAGCAGAGCAGAGGCTGGAGTGGTGGCAGCACCAAGGACAGAGGCCCAGAGGACGGCTGTGC